CAGGGAGGGGAGAAAGGGAAGAGGAGAGGGATGAGGAGGATGAGGAGGAGCACGTAGGAGTAGGAATAGTAGTAGGAGTAAATAGGGGTAGGAGTGGGTAGGAGTGGGTAGGAGGAGGAGGAGGAGGTGGAGGAGGAGGAGGAGGAGGAGGTGCAGGAGGAGGAGGAGGAGGAGGAGGAGGAGGAGGAGGAGGAGCGGGAGGAGGAGGAGCAGGAGCAGGAGCAGGAGCAGGAGCAGGAACAGGAGCAGGAACAGGAGCAGGAGCAGGAGGAGGAGGGGGAGGAGGAGGAGGAGGGGGAGGAGGAGGAGGAGGAGGAGGAAGATAGAGGAGGAGACAGGAAGGAGAGAGGAAGGCGAGAGGACGGGGAGAATGACCCCCAAACGGGCGCCACACACACACACACACTTTCATTCTGATGAGGAGGGGAGGAGGGGACGGACCGGAATGGCGAGCTGGAGGTGGAGGACGCGTACAGAGTGCACCCCCGAGGGGCGCCATACGCTGGAGGATGGGGGCATAGGAGACAGAGTAGAGAGGTGAACCGACGAGTCGGAATCGTATAGAGTGCATCCTGACGAGGGCGCTATGCACGCATGCCCAGGAAAGTGGCAATGTAAACAGATCGTCGACGTAAACACGACTAGCGTGCACGTCCGCTGGCAATATAGAAACGCATAGCGTGCACGCACGTGTTTTGAAATACAAGATGAGTTCGAAAGGGGAATGTCGTATAGTGTGCATGGACGGTGACCTCAAAGGGAGCCGTGCGCGCTATCCGTGGCAAATCCACCATAAGGCCCCAGTGGCGCCGCCCGCATGTGGGCGCCAAACCCGGTTCGGCCCACCCCTCAAACTTTTCATTGCTTTACAAGGAGTTTCACCAAAGGCCCCAGCGGCACAACCTGCATGCGGGCGTTGCCCCATAGTGCCATAGGGAGACTGAAGGCGGTAATCACACTTGCGGTATTCATATTTGCACATGGTTGGATCTTTTTACTCGCCAGGTTAATGTGTGTGGTCTCCTTGCTCAACGTGATATCGGATGGCTGTCAGCCCATCCCGCCACCGTGCTTGGGTTGTGGGTCCGATTTATATGGGATGCTTCTTCGGGTCTGCTCGGAATAATTGCGGGTGCTTTTTGGGCGCAGTTTAGGAGCCCCTTGGGGCCTCTGGGGGGGTCTTGGTTTTTGTTGGGGGGCCTCCTGGGGGCCCCTCGGGGCCGAGTGCTCGAAATGTCCGCTCGGGGTTTCCGTTTGGGCCCCCCTGTTGGGGCCGTCTTTGGGCCCACTTGGGCCGTGTTGGGCGCCTCCTGGGCCGTCTCTTTGGCCGTCTTGGGGCCTTCTTGGGGGTCTCTGGGGCAGTCTTGGGGTTTTGGGGGCCTCGTGAGCCGTCTTGGAGCGTCGGGGGGTCGAAAAGGCGAGAACGCCAACATCTTTAGACAACCAAAGGTAACATATGTTTGAAAATATGTTTGGCCTCTTGGGGCCTTCTTATCTTGGGAGGCCTCTTGGGGGCCTCTGGGGACGTCGTGTAGGCCTCTTGGATCGCCTTGGGGCCGCCTTGGGCTTGGAGCAATCTTTCGGCGACCGGGAGCACTCTTGGACCATCTCGGGTGCCCTTTGGGGCCCTCTCGGCCCGTCCTGGCGCCGTCTTGGGCCCCAAAAAGTCATGCGACAAGCGGCGGGGAACCGCGACAAGACCCAGAAGATTTTAGAATTTGGGGAGGCTTGGGCAAAAGGACCTGAGAGCACGTCCACCTTTGTACCCTGCGGCACGGGAGCAGGCGCGGCACCCTGGCACCCCGAGGGGGAGCCGCCCAGGGGCGGGGACTCTTCAGGATTCGCGGTCAGTCTGGGGGGTGTCTCAGGCGGTCTGCTTGTTTCTGCCCCCCCCCCGATGTTTCTTTGGACTTGCGTGTCCCTCGCTTGCTCACTCGCTCACCTCCTCCCCCTTTTCCCCACTCGGACGCACGTATTCGGACTCGGACTTGCGCATCAGCACCTCTTCCTCGCTCACTCATCACATTTAGACTCGCCCACATTCAGGTTCGATTATATCCACATCCACACAAACTTACTTACTCGCTCGAACTCGGACTCGCTCAAACTCAGACTCACCCCAGACCAGATCACATTCAGAGTCACTCACACTGAGACTCACCAGTCCCCAGACTCACTCATACTCAGACTACCTCGTACCCAAGCTCACTCACATTTCGTGCTCAAACTCAGACCTACCCACAGTGAGACACTCACACTCGGACCCACTCGCACTTAGACTCGCTCGTACTCAGACCCACTCGTATTCAGACCAACTCGTACTCACACTGAGTATATCTATATTCATTTCGCTCACACGCAGGCTGGATCAGACCAGGACCCACCCACACTCCGTCTCGTTCACACTGAGATCACCCTCGCTCATGTTCATTCGTACGAAGGCTCATACACGTATGGCTACAGCGATATATCCGGCATGGCACGTGGGCACCCCAGGTGCCAGCAGGCGGCGCGAATAGGATTTGCACATGCTCGGATTTCCGCGTCAAAGTAATTGTTCTGTGATTGTCTTTCTCTCTCTATTTCTCTTTCCCCTCTCCCTCGTTCTCTTTCTCTCCCGTGACGGCCCAGGAGGTCCCCAATGGCCCACAAGGCACCCAGGACCGCCCAAGATAGTCCCAAGATGGCCCGAAGAGGGGCTCCAGGGAGGAAATGCGAACCCTCATTTCGAAGCATCCCCCAAGCGGAGCCCGAAGACCGCCAGCAGGCCCCCACGGACTTCCCCAAGGAACCCAAGAGGCCCAGAAAAGGCCCAACAGAGGCTCCACAACTCTCCCCAATAGGCTTCCAGAGGCTCCCCAAGACACCCGAGCGGGCATATAAGAGGTCGCGCACCTCACACCAACAACCCGGACACGTTGGCAGGAGAGGCAGAAGGCCACCAGGAGGGGCACACGTGGACGAGGGGCACGCTGGCCCCTCCCCTTTGGTCCTCACGTCTCGAAGCCCCGAGCCCGAGAGGACCCAGGATACCGCCCGCAAGACCCTAGGACCCCCCCCCCCCAGAGGATCCGAAAGGCCCCCAGCCCAGGAGATCCCAGAGAGGCCCCAGGAGGCCCCAAAACAGCCCCCGAGGGCCTTCAAAAGAAACGAAGCCAACAGGAATCCAATCTGACTCTGACCAGCATCCCAGGCACGGTGGCAGGACGGGCCGAAGGCCACCATGAGGTGCACACGTGGGCGAGGGGCACCGTGGTCCCTCCTCTAAGCCCATATCTTTGCGTTTCGTCTTCAAAAGTTCCGCTTCTTCTTCTTCTTCTGCTCCTGTCCTTCCTTGCCGTTCTGCTTTGGTCGTCGTTGCCATCATGCTCCTGGATGGTCCCCCCCGTTCCTCGGCCTCCCAAACCGCTCCTCTCGTCCTCTTCGTTGTCCTCCTGGATACCTCCGTGCTCAGCCATGGGCTGTTTACGACGTGTTCCCGTAGCGCTTTCGGAGCCAGGCCCTATCCGCAACCGTGCGAATTGGGATTCCAGAGAACCCGAGCGCTTTCGAAGCGCGCGCAAGGTTTCTAGTCGATCACAGGAGGGATACCTCATTACGGTCCCCCCCGTCGGAAGCGTGAACGTCGCCTCTTGGGGCGTTCGTGGCGCTCTTGGGCCGTCATAGGGGACCTCTTGGTGCCCTTCTAGGGGCTTTCTTGGACCAGTTTGGAGCCATCTCGAGGCCTCCAATGCCTATCGAAGCAGAATGGCGAGAAGGCAAACCCGCTGGTAGTCCGCACCCAGTGAGAGAGCTATGTGTGAGAGGTCAACCTCTTCCCGAAGGGGAAACATGCGGTTGTCAGATTCGATTCCTTACCACCAACGCCCAGAGGGCTTGCGGCGCCTGAGACCGGTGGCTGGCTGGAGCGGCTGGGTCAGGAAATCATATCGTTGTTTCTGGTGCTGGGGGAAGCGTGCAGGTGTTCGCCCGCGGCACCGCAGGTGCAAGCACCGTCGCCCATCAGCCGCTAGTCAGCACCTTCAGGACAACGTCCTCCCAGCCCGAACATTGCGCTGTGTTGTCGCAGGCGCTTGCCTTGTGCAAGCCGCTTTGGCTCAAGCACACTGCCTGAAGCAGCCCGGTTTTTTTTTCATCAGTGCGTCGAAGCCGGGGCAGCCATGAGAGCAATTCTGGCTCTGATCAGCGCCGCCAGCCTTGTCTGTGCACGCGCAGCCGAGTCCGATCAGCCCCTGCCCTTCAATGGGGTCTTCGTGACTGCGGGTGTAGCTGCGGTGGTTGCTACCGGTGTCGGCCTCATGATCTATCAGACACCCAAGGACATGCGCGGGCCTGGCAAGATGTTCAAGGTCAAGACTTTGAACGGAGTCGAGTCGTTGCACCGGGTGATTCTTCCCAACCTACTCCCCGCCGCGACCGTCACGTTGGTGGCCGTCCCCCTCAGTTTGGCTCTCGGCATAGCCACTGGCACAACACCGATGACTGCAATTGCCACTGCCATTGTTGGCGGCCTCGTGAGCGGCAGCTTCGGGGATTCGGCCTTCAATATTGTGGGCCCCGCCGGGGCGCTTGTGGGCATCCTCATGCGCTTCACTGCCACTTACGGCGCAGAGGTCCTTCCGTGGCTCTCATTGATGTCTGGATGCATGATCACTCTCACGATTTTGCTGCGCCTCCACGAGTACTGCATGTTCATGCCGAAGGCAGTCTTCGAGGGCTTCACTGTGAGTGTGGCACTCACCATCGGCTTGGGCCAGACAGACTTTGCCTTCGGCCTCAGCCCTCAGGCACCAGTCAAGATTGAGGGCCTCGAGCTCTCCCCAGGGATCTGGAAGTTGGGCGCGTCCATCAAGGCCTTCGGAACCATCCAGGCCTCGAGTACTATATTCTTCCTCGTCGGCTTCACTACGATGTACGTTCTGTTTAAGATGAAGCCCTCGATCCCTTGGATGGTACCTTTCGCCTTCGTGGCTTGCTTCATCGGCGCTCTGTGCGACGAGGACGCGCTGGGGGTCGTCCCGCTGGACCTCCCCAACTTGAGGTCCAAGTATGGGACTCTGAGCTTCTGGGCTGTGCAAGGGCTGAAGCCCTTGACTCAGATTGTTGCGGATGCCAACAATGGCGAGGGGGGCAGTTACGGTGAACTCTTGATGGGTGCTCTCTCCGTCACGATTGTGGCAGTCCTGGAGACGCTGATCAGCGCCCAGATCGCGAAGACCCGTTCAAAAATGCCGTACGACGACGTGAAGGAGCTCCAGGGTCTGGCCTTGAGCCACTTTGCATGTGGGATCTGCGGCCTTATGCCTCCCACCGGCGTCTTCGTACGCACCAGCGTGAACTTCTCCACCGGGGCCACTCATAAGACGTCACAGTTCATCCAAGGCTTATTGGTCTTCGTGTTCGCTGCAGTTGCCATGAAGTTCGTGTCCTACATCCCCCAGGGCGGCATTGCGGCCATCCTTGTTATGTCGTGCTTCCGCATGGTGCCGTGGGGCTACGTGCAGAAGTTGTGGGACGAGCAGAAGTGGCACTTCGGGCTCCTCTGCGTGGTGGCTCTGGTGTGCTGGGTCGTCGACTCCGTGACTGGGCTCGTCGTTGGCACAATGGTGGCCCTGCTCGTCACAGGAAAGGAGACCGCGCGCGGCCACGCAGAGATCTCGATCACGGCGGCAGGCAACAAGCGGCTCGCGGACGGGTCGCCCGAAATGATCTCGATCGATGCGCTCGCCGTCGACAAGGTGGATCTGGCGCGCAGGGTGAAGGAGGACTCGGAGTCGGAGTCGGAGGATGACTCTTCCGAGGAGTCGGAGCTGGAGTCGCAGCTGGCCAACACGAAGCCAAGCTACTCTCACATGGCGTATGCCCCGGAGTTTGACCAGTTCAGTCGACAGGAGAGCGATCAGTTCGGTCGGCAGGAGAGCGTGACACCAGAACTGTTCGCACGCGAGGGCAAGGAGCGTCTCACGCCAACGGTTCGTGGTGATCGCGTCTTCCTCTACAAGTTCCTCGGGCAGTTGGACTTCTTGGCAGGGGACCGGCACGTGGATCGCGTCCAAGGCATTCTCAAGTCCGGCCCCAAGGCAGTGGTGCTTGCCATGCAGAACGTACCGTGGGTGGATCCCGACGGCTTGGAGGCCTTGCGGGACATCGTTATGATGCTCGACGGAAACAGTGTGCAGGTCTACTTGGCTTGCCCCCGCCCCAAAGTCACGGAGGCTTTGGAGAAGGAGGCGTGGTACCACGAGAAGATCGGCAGCGGCCAGTTTGTCTTCCCCACGGAGAAGTCTGCTCTTGTCTCCGCGGTCGGGAAGCCCCTGGACGGGCAGATCGGTTCCCCAAATCCCAGGTTGGTGGGTGCCTGAGTTGCACGGGCTGGGCGAAAGTGGGGGTTAGGGAAAGGGAGGGTTATCAAATCAGCTGCGTGCACCCGGCTTCGCTTGGCGCTTTCCTCGATGCATGGGTGTTTCTGTCGCCGGGAGGTGCCGGGAAAATCAGCTGCGTGAGCTGATTCGCTGAGCCCTTTTAGCTTGCCCCCGCTTGCGTCCGACCCAGTTTACCGTGGGTCAGCGGCCAGTCTGTCCTGAGACCGCCAGCCCATTAAAGCTTTAGATTTTCGCAGCGTCAAATGCACGGTTTCAAGGGCGTCGGTTGCGGCACTGTCGCAAGCGATGTGCCACGGCGGGGCTTTCGCATCTCCGTTGGCCTACGGCCAACGGAACCTTGGATGCCTGCACGGTATCGTGCCATGTACGTTTACATGTTCCGTTCAGGTGAGGGACGATCGTCACATTCGGACGCCCCCCCCCCCTCACAGGAAAATTCTTCGGGGCGTCCAGTAGCACCACCACCCTGGCGACGACGACGACGACGACGACGACGACGACGACGACCACGACAACGACGACGACGACGACGAGGACGACGGCGACGGCGACGGCGACGGCGACCACCACCAAGACCACGACCACGACCACGACCAAGACGACGACGACGACGACAGCGACCACGACCACGACGACCACGACCACGACGACGACGACGACGACGACGACCACGACGACGACGACCACGGCGACCACGACCACGACCACGACCACGACCACGACCACCGCGACGACGACGACGCCGACTATGACGACGAGGACGTCGACGACGACTATGACGACGACAACGACGACGACGACTCACGACATACGACGCACGACGCACGACGCACGACGACCACGACGCGTACGCCAGCGCCCACACCGCCGCCGACGCTGACGATCACGACGACGACGAAGACGACGACGCCGACAACGATGACGACGACGACGCTGACGACGACGACGACGACGACGGGCAGAGTAGAGGAGACGTAGAGTACAGTACCTAATGGCCTTCGGCGCATCTGGCAACACTGCCTGCGTTGTGGGTACATAGCCTATTGGATGTTCGTTGGGATCTCGTGGGGGTCCTCTCGGGGCCTCTTGGAGGCAGTTTTGGGGCATCTTGGGGGCTGGTTTGGGGCCTCTCGGGGTCTCTTCTAGGCCTCTTGGGAGCCTCTTTGTGCTTCTTGGGGGCCTCTTGAGGCCTCCTGGGGGCTCTGTTGGGTCTCTCGGTGCCTAGTGGAGGCCTCTTGGGTGCATCTTGGGCCCTCTTTGGCGGCTCTCGGTCCGTCTTGGGGTGGTTTGGGGGGCTTCTTGGGCCGTCTTGGAGCGTTGGAGAGCCAACAAGGCGAAAACGCCACAATCTGTCAAACATCGACGGACAATCAATGATTCGTGCCTCTTGGGAGGCCTCTTGGAGACCTCTTGTGGCGTCTTGGAGGCCGCTTGGGCCACCTTGAGGTCATGCGTTTTGGGGCGATCGTTCGACGACCCAGAGCCCTCCTTGAACTCATGGGAAGGTTCAGGAGTTCGCTGGGGAGGGAGCACAGCGTCCACAGGAGGCGCAGGAACACTTCAGAACTCACGGGAGCCAGCCCGGAAAGGCCTGGGAAATGATTGGTCCGGGCCTTTGAAGATTAAAATTTCTCGCTGCAGCAGCGGGCACTCCACGTCGTGCCAGAGGCACGGTGGCGGATAATAGGAGGAGTAGAGTAAAAGAAGTTGAAGATCTTCAGGTCGAAGCTCAGGAAGACGGGGTGGTGGGTAAAGTGAGGCATTTCCAGTTCCTGCCGTCCTATGTGCCGCCATCTCCCGCCTATCCTACACGCCGGTCCGCCATGGCAGCATGGTTGAACGCCGTGGCGTTGGCGGGGCGCGCGTGCGACAGCGCGTCGCCCGCCGCGTCTCGCGCGGCCACGGCCTGGATGGCGGCGCCCGGCGGGTGGCGCAGGGCCATCGCGCACGCTGCCGCCGAGCGCGGCGGCTGGCAGCCGCCCAGTTTCGGACCGCTGGCCTTGGCCTGGCGTCCTTTGCGGGCTGATTCTCGGGCTCGACTTCGAGCAGGTGCTGCACCGGGCCAGCGGGGTGGCGCACGCCTGCGCCCGCGCGGACGGCGCGGTCGAGCCCCCGGCGCTTCCTGGGTTGCTTGCGAGGCCGCCCGGGCATCAGGCGGTCAGCCCCGCACTCGCCAGAGCGCGGTTGGGTCGTGGCCAAGCGGTTCGCCTTCGACGAGTGCGGCGCCGCCGGCAGCTCGGGGCGGGCATTCCTGGAGGCGTCGATGCTGTCGCGGCGGTCTGACGACGGAGGGAGTCCTTCTTCGCCGTGGGCGGTGATGCGCGGTCGCGGACATTGACCTCTGCAATGCGCTCCCCAGTCTCGAGTGGGACGCCATCAGATCTGGGAGTCCCGTGCTGGGCACTTCCCGGGCCTGCTGGCTTGGTCAATAACACCATGCGGCCCCGTCGCGGGCCCAGCCGCCGAGCGGGGAGCTTATGGAGGCATCCCGGGCCGCGGGGCAGGACGACCCCCTGGGCGGCCTACTGACCATCGCCGTGAGCTCGGACGCGGTCGACCGGGCGCGAGCCGATCTCTCCGCGCAGGGAGTCGAGTTCGGCCAGCTCGTCTGCGATGAGCGCGACGTCAACGCCGTCCGGCGGGCACTTGACGCCCGGCTCACGGCCGTCGGCGCCAGTCGCAGATGCGGGCCAAGCGTCGAGAGCGCTGCGCGCCTTCTGGGCACGAGCGACGCCCCAGACCCGAGGGCGCGGGTTGCCCTTTACGCGGCGGACGCGTGCGCGACGCTGTCGGGCGACGCGACGCACCTCGCGCGCGCGCTGGGAATGGGCGCCGACGCCCGCGACGAGGCGCCCGCCGCCATGGCGCGGCAGATCCGCCAAGCCTGACGCGCGCCCCCCTGATCTGGAGGACGCGCCCAATGTTTCCACGCTGTCGCGGCCCCGCGGGGTCGTCTTCAAGGTGGCGCACCTGCTACGATCTGCCAGCCCAGATCTCAGCGTCGACGCCTCCGCCGAGTTCGACGACGTCGCGACGGCAGCGCTCGGGCGCGCCCTCGCGCGCGAGGTTCCTCTCCTCCCGCGCTTCAGAACTGGGTGGCCAGCGAGCCAGGCTGCGCTCGGCCTCGCTTCGGCGGCCGAGCTGGCCTTCGCCGCTTCCGTGGCAGCCCGCGCGAAGGCCTGGTCGATGGCCTGGCTCCCGCGTGCGAGGGGGGCTCGGCGAGGTCGTGGAGCGCGGCGACGCTGTCAGCGCGCGCGGAGGCCCGTCCTGCTCCTCCGCGCGGGGGGCGCCAGACAGACGCGGATCGACGATTTGATCGCCTGGGGCAAGCGGCGCGACCGCCACAGGGCCTGGCCACGCCGCGCCGGCGATTGCGCTCGCGGCCGGGGCCGAGGCTGGCCTCGCCAAGCCAGCGGGAGCATTCGGAGGCGGTCGACAGATCTCGCCTCCAGAGCACGCTGCCCCTCGTGCTGGGAGAGGGCGGGGGGTCGCGGCTCGAGGCGCTCGACGAGACTCCGCGCCGCTGGCGACTGGCCCAGGCCCCGCTGCATGGCCGAGCTAGCTGTGGAGCCCATCCGCCGACCATTTGTAGCTGCATCGCCGATGCGCGGCGCGAGGCCCAGCCGTCGGCGCCGCCGGGCACGTCGACCCCCTGGCCCCCCGCTTCGGGGCGCCCCTGGCCCCCGAGGGCGCGGAGCGCCCCTGCGCGGCAAGACCGTCGACGCGGCGTGCGCCCGCAAACTTGCGCGCCGGGCGATGCAGCTTGAGGTCGCGAGCGAGTGCGCCATTGCGCCCGCCTGCTGGCCGCCCTATAGCAGACCAAGGAGCCGCCCCGCAGCCGCTCGGGCCCGCGCCCCCCCCCCTCCCCGCCCAGCATTGCGGCGCCGTGCTGGGATTTTCGCGTCGGCTGCCCACGGCAGCCTCGCAGCGCTGGACAGTGGCCCGGGGCGTGCCCCCACGAGGCCGCGGGCGCCAGGTTGGACTGCCGCGCGGCGATGCTTCGCCGCGAGCGGCAGACGCGAGCTCCATTATTTCTCGACGACGCGCGGCGCGCGCAGTCAACCGATTGTCCAAAGTAGCCGTGGGGGCCCAGGTGGGCCGCGCACGCGCTGCAGGGCGGCGACGCGCGGCGCCGCGGCATCCCAGATTGGGGGCCGCTGCGGCAGCGCGCGCGCCGCCATCTCCGCGGAGCGCCAGCGGCGCCGCATGCGCCAGCGCCGCCGTTGCCTGCCCGAGGAGCTGCTGGAGGGCGCGCCCGCCGACGCCCCGCCACTGACGCGCGCGGCCGAGGAAGGGGAGACCGCCGCGCTCGGAGCGGCGCTCGACGGCGCCGCAGCAGCGCCCGCCGCGGCGCCCGCCGGCGGTGGCGGTTTGTCGGGGAGGGGGGGGGGGGGAGGGGATTCGGCAGTCGGGGCCCCGGGCCAGCGTTGCTGGCTCCGGAGCTGCTCGGTGCGAGGTGGCTGGCCGGGCGGCGGCGGGCGCGGCGCCCCGGAGGCGGTCGCAGGCGGGGCCGCGGCGGACATGGCCGCAGTCGGCGGCGCTGCACATAGCTTTTGGCGACGCCTTGGCGGCGGGTGGGGCGGAAGGCCTGGCGACCGCGACCAGGGCAGGCGTTGCCGGAGGCGACGCCGAGTTCCCGGCCGCATTCGGGGGGCTTGCCAGCCCCGCCAGATCCGCTGGAGAAGGGGGCGGCGAGGCGACGCGACGCCGCGCGGGAGGGCGCGGCCAGGCCCGCGGGCGCCGCGACGGCGGTCGGGGCCGATGGCCCAGGGGATTCGCGCGCGGGCCCGATGGCTCGCGCGCGGGCGCGGGCCTTGAGCGGCGCTGCCCCAAGACGCGGAGATCTCCATATGCGCATCTCACACGCGTTCCCGTCACGTTTCGCTGAGGAGCCCTGTCAATGAGCATCTGGGTGCGAGAGCGAGTCCGCGCGAGCGACAGGCGCGGCACTGACGACGATTTCAGCGACGATGTCAGCG